GGGGAGGCGTTCGCCGCAGTGCGGGCCGAGCGCGGGCCGGCCGGGCGGGCGGCTGTTGGTCCCCGACGCGTCTCCGGCTTCCTCGCCGCGAGCAGGAGCAGCTTCTCTCCGTGGCCGCTGCCTCCTCGCTGCCTCGTGTTGCCCAGGCTGCAGCCCCCAGTCTGATCCAGTGGCGCCTCGGTTTCCGGATGGGATCGGCTCCGGGAGACGGTCCGAGCTCGGGAACGTTCGGAAACCGAGGGCTCCGCAGCCCACAGCTGGGCTCAGGATCTTGCCCGCAGCGGAAGCCGCGGGGCGCGTTCGAAAACCGGGGCATTGCCTCCCGGGTTTAGGGCGGCCGCCAACCCAAACGCTCGTCCACCGAGACGTCCGAGAACCGAGGCGCCACGGCACTGTTCAGCCCATGCCCATGCCCTGGGCAAAAGAACTAGTTGGGGACAATCGTAGGGTTTCATCTAAGACGGGGACGTATTCGTTGACCGTCTACTTTGAGCCGGTGACTGGTCCCCTCCCTCTTTCCTCGTTGTAGTAAACGGTGAAGCCTCACCTCTCAGGCTGGTTACGAGGCTCGGCACTGCCTGAGGCCTGAAGAGTCTCAGTCTGGTGGCATTTCTGTAACCCGATTGAGACACGGGTGCAGGAGACTTGTAAGGAGTGCCTCTCGGGAGCCACATACGTATCCCCAAGTCTACCAGGTGACCCAGCAGGGGTGCGCCAGGGGCCGGACGGCGGGCGAGCTCAGGCTAGGGGATGCGGGAATGGGGTTCTCATCCTGGACCCCACACGCGGCCGAAGTAAGAGCGACCGTGGGAATTTCATCAGTGGGTCGGTCGCTAAGCACTAAGGCACTTAGGGCTCCTCTGACCTGGGGGGCCCGCCTCCCGTAAGACTCCATGGGGATGCGGTGCAACCTCTAAGCTATGAGGGGTCTGTAGGGAAACCGCGTGTGCTTTCCTTGCATTTCTTTTTATTGGTATAAAATTCACATAACATAAAACTGAACGTTTTAACGAAGAGAATCCACCGGAACGTAGTAAATACACGATGTCTCAATGACAGCTTCTATCCAGTCTCAAGACATGTTTATAACCCTTCTCAG